CGTTTTTGTATAGCGCCGCAACAAATTTGAGGCATAATGCCAGATTATGTCTGAGGCTGTATCTCTGCAAAGCTTTGACATATTGAAACCAAACTTTGTGTGTGCCATTGTTACCTCACACAGAACACACCACATCGATTTGATAACAGCGCCACCTATTGGTCAAAAGTGATAGGCCATTAAATCATATTACAAGAAGTTGTGTTTGATTTTTCTTCAGATCATCCTAAACTTGCTTTAATTACTCATTGTTGCAGTTGGTCTGATGCTCCATGCCATGCTTAGCTCCTCATTTTGCCTTTGGAGTGCTTGGCCCCTTAATTGCTGCTTGCGGCTATATTTTTATTTTAAATTAATTTCGTTAGACACCATTTTTGGTGATAAATTTCTATTAAATCGTAAAACACAGAATCCATACAAAATAAAATGGAAAACACTGAATTTAGGGGAAAATAAAATATAGGTAAGTAATATAATGGGTAATAAGTTGTTCACATTCATTCTCAAGGTCTAACAAACATGTGGAAAGCATTTCCTGTTATAAATGAATACCATGATATTGTTTGTTATGGGAAAAAAAACAGATATTGTGTAATATTTTTGTCCATATCGCCCAGCCCTTCATTCTGTGTGCTTTGGCTGCTTCTTTTTGCAGGCAGCATGACTGTGGGGGATCTAGTGATGGTGAACGGGCTGCTCTTCCAGCTCTCTATGCCGCTCAACTTCCTGGGCACCGTATACAGAGAGACCCGACAGGCCCTCATAGACATGAACACGCTCTTCACTCTGCTCAGCGTCGACACCAAAATAAAGGTGCGCTAGGCCTTTACTGCTGCAGAATTAAGCATACAAAGTTATTTCAATGTGAAAAGAAACCCTGGGAACGGCGTTGTATTATCTGCTCCAACCGTTCTGAAATGTCAGAGCTTTTTAAAATCTGTGACAAGAGCTTCCTTTCAGAGTTGAATATTACAAATTGAAGCATTAAAGCCTGTCATTCGTCGTAGTATTTGTTTTAATTCTGAAAACATTCGAGTGTTTCCTGTCTTTAGGGGGGGGGTTGATGAATCTCATTCTTCGTATGGCTAATTTCGTATGCAGCCTGTAATTACCGTGAATAAAATCTGTCCGATTGTTCGCAGTGATCAGTAATGGTTTTCACCGCGTGACAGCACTGCCCATCAAGCCATTATTGTGAGACCCTAATTTGATTTCTCAAATGACGCATCTGTGTGTAGAATTAGTGTAAAAGTGCTGAGAGCCATTGTTTTGATGATGCCATTACAATGTATTGTCTTCGAAATATGCTTGAGAAAAGCCATTTTTCTGTTTCAAGCCTCAAAATGTAAATTTCAGACTGCTACTAAATGTGTTTTTTTATAACCTTTGTGTCCGAAGGAGAAAGAAATGGCCCCGCCGCTGCTCGTTACACCCCAGGAAGCCACCATCAGGTTTGAGGATGTGTATTTTGAGTACTTGGAGGGACAAAAGGTGCTTAACGGGGTTTCCTTTGAAGTACCTGCGGGGAAAAAGGTGGCCGTTGTTGGCGGCAGTGGATCTGGGTAAGTGCTCCAGGAAAGACATACTTATGTTAGGTTTCTCTGAACTTGGCACAATAGGGTTCAAATTGGAGCTCCATTACTTTGAGAAATATAGCAGTAAAGGCAAAAACTCTTTGGAGTGAGAACTATTAGATAATGAGGGATTATTGCCATTTAACACTGTGATAGGACTGGAGTCCCATCATTTGAGGCCTGTTTGCAGCCAAAGACAAGTAAATAATCTCATTCCATTGTTGACAGCATTTGTCGAGCTCAAACGTTTAATTTTGTTTTTTGTAAAGTTAAGAGATTTTTACTTTCATTTGTAGGGAATAAGTTTATTAGCAACTGCAAACCAACATTTTAAGGCCCTGATATACTTTTTAAAAATATATTCATTGCTAAAAATGACTATTGGGTCATTCTGTGTCAAATCAAACAAATTTCAGAAACTTCCCTGGCTCCAATTTTTTATTCTCTGATTTTTTTTTTTTCGAAAGAAAGATGTATAGATGAAAGACAAAATATTAAATGTCATTAATGCATATCAAAGATTGCTAAAGTCAACAGATTTTACTAATAGACCTAACCATCTCTGTGTGAAAATAACATGATGCTGCCATCTTTCTGAAGTCATTTTTACTCCTCTGTAATTTGGCTCTGAATCACAGGTGGAAATTGCCATTTTGACCCGCCTCTACAAAACAGTGGCTTACTCAGTAAATATACATCCATGACATTTAATTTGTTGTTTTTCTTCTTTATTGATGCATTTCTTTCACCAGAAAACATTTGAGCTGGGGCCTCTGGTTAAGTTGGCACAGAATGACCCCATTGAATTACACATCGTACATTGTATTAAAGTTTCCAGAATAACAAGTCTGTCATGAAACCGCTCATATAATATTTATTTAGTCTTCTGGTAAATGACCAGTTTTCACACTGACCCTTTGGGTCTGTTTACACCTGGTCACTTCATTCGTTTTGTCTGATCGGATATCTATCTGATTTGTTCAAACGTGGCCACATAAATGTGTCTTCGCAAAACGGATATAAATCCGATCTTCAATTCCCGCGCTATATGCAAATTTAACCGAGTTCACGTTAACGAAAGCAACAGATAACGGCTGCATTTTATTCACGATCAGCTAATTTCAAGAACAAGATGCGGAACAGGAGAGAGCGCGGCATTAGCACTGGAAAGATAGGTTAGTCTCACTACTTTTAATGAAGATGATTGTGTGTTGAGCATCTGCGTCTTCCTTTCAGTTTCATTTGTGGCTGTTTGCGCGTCGGCTTGCTGAAGAGATACTCAGCTACTCATTCGCGGTGATGCTTGTTGCATTAGCACTGTCGTATCTGAGTATAACATGCCATATAGCCTTTAACACACTCTCACATGTTTATTATTATAAAACGGAGAGTTCCGGTCCTTGATTCTGATTGGCTGAGCCGCATTCAAAGCTGTTGTAAATTACTCTACAAACATACACCTTTGTTTACTTCTGTGTGTTGCTCGGCAGCTACTTTGTTGCAACCACAACCAGCTCTGAAGAACTACATTGTTTGGCGGAAGAATAATGTTTTTATTAATATCATTATATTTTATTTCCTTTGTTTTATTTTGTGAAACCTTACTACGTATATGGAATAACCGTTTTATAAAAGCAATAACCATGGTATACCGTTCTTTATAAAATGGAGAGTTCCGGTCCTTGATTCTGATTGGCTGAGCCGCATTCAAAGCTGTTGTAAATTACTCTACAAACATACACCTTTGTTTACTTCTGTGTGTTGCTCGGCAGCTACTTTGTTGCAACCACAACCAGCTCTGAAGAACTACATTGTTTGGCGGAAGAATAATGTTTTTATTAATATCATTATATTTTATTTCCTTTGTTTTATTTTGTGAAACCTTACTACATTGAATAACCGTTTAATAAAAGCAATAAGCACCGTGAAGCCGTGGTTTACTGTGAATTTATAACAGCTGTTATAAATTCACTGTAAACCACGGCTTCTTGGGGCTGATTGCTTTATTTTAATAATTTGGGAGGAGTAAAATTTGCCTATGTGGTTTAAACAACCAGATGCATTTACACTTGTCCAGTTTCGTATGGAATGTGGCGCAGACCACCTCCTGAAGTGGTTTGAGCGATCGGATATAAATGCAAGTCTTGAAAACGTTTCGGAGGGCATTTACACCTGGTCTTTTCACGATCGGATAGCTATCTGATCAGAGAAAACGCATGAAGTGACCAGGTGTAAACAGGCCCTTTGATGCAATAGAAGTAGAAGGACAGAAAATGGAATTTGACTGCTTAAACATGATATTTTTTATGTTTTTAGAAAGAGCACGATTGTCCGATTGCTCTTTCGTTTCTACGAGCCACAGCGGGGCAACATCTACATCGCAGGCCAGAACATTCGTGATGTTAGTTTGGAGAGCTTGAGGAAAGCTGTGGGCATCGTGCCGCAGGTGAGGCTTTGCGTCTAATTCTGAGAATCAGCAGATGTAATTATCACCTCGTTAGAGAACATTATTTTCTTACTTTTTTTAAATAAATATCTTATTATAAATGATCTGTGAGGTACCATGGGAACCATAATCAGACTTAATTTAAGGCTATGAAAATCACTTTTATGCCATGCTGGATGAGAATCAAATGTAAATATAATTTCAGGATGCCGTGCTTTTCCACAATACCATATTTTACAATCTGCTGTATGGTAACATCAACGCCACTGAAGAGGACGTCTACCGTGTGGCCAAACTAGCTGGAATCCATGACGCCATTCTCCGAATGCCTCATGGATACGACACGCAGGTCGGAGAGCGAGGCCTGAAGCTCTCAGGTACAGACCTCAGCCCTCAGTGTTTCTGAGAGGAAGACAGAGGAACTGAATGGTTTCTTCTTCAGTGATCTAGAGCGGGTTTTTCTTGTGACAGGTGGAGAAAATCAGCGTGTGGCCATCGCACGGGCCATCCTTAAGAACCCTCCCGTTTTGCTGTATGACGAGGCCACGTCTTCACTAGACTCGATCACTGAAGAGGTGAGAGCCTTAGATCCGTGTGCCAATGAAATAGTAGATTCCTCAATAATAGGTATGAAATGGGCATGAAAACATGATTGCACAGTGCTGTCTGTCTGTCTGTCTATTCGTCGAATTTAAAATACAAATCCACATTCTGCATTTGAATTTTAGGTGTGTGTTAAGGAGGCAGCTTTATCAATGGCGCACGAGATGCGATGACGATGTAAGTGTCGTTGCATTATAATGTTTTTGTTAGTCTATCCAGTTGAGGCCACTAGATGCGGCGCTGCTGCATTGTTCATTAAAAATATAGCGGGAAAAAGAGAACATCAATGCGGAGAAGATCTTGATTACGTCAAAACTGAAACCAAGCCGTTTACACAGAATGCATATTTTGCGCATTTTCTAGAGGGACATCTATCAATGTTGCACTCGCATGTTGCACAAAGGAGCCGCATGTTTAGAAAGCCATGTAAAATTAATGCAAGTTTAACTTTGAAAAAAACCTATCGAGACTCAATGGCGGGTTTTTCCCATCCCACTGCATCTCATGTTTTTAAATGAAAAATATACTCTGTGATTGGCTTTCGGCCCTTTGTATTAAACTATGCATACATACATGATGCTGTTTTGTTTATAGTTGTTTAAGCAACTTAATTAATTATAATTGGTTTATAAACATTGTTTTAAACATTATACACTTTTTTTCACAGATAGTCATGTTATCTTATGCTTTGAATAAATGTGCATTAGTAATATTTTGCTCGATGCGCCCTCTTGTGGCCTCAGGAGAGAATACAAAAGCTTTTCTTCGCCCTAACTGAAATTATGCATTTTAAATTAGAATATAATTTGAATTTTGATAATATTTAAGTACAGAATTCGAATTTAGTTGTTCAGCAATTTTGACAGCTGTAGTCTGTAGCCGGCTATACACATGAAAACACACTAGCTGGGAGTTTGCTGTCAAATTAAATATTTTTTTTCTTTTCTTTTTGTTTGTTTTAATGAACTGCCTTTTTTAAAGCTGCATCATATTCACTAACAATCTGTGTTGAAATGTGCCACTCAAATAATTAAGAACAGACTGAACATTTGTTGTTGCTGTTGAAATGAAACTACTGGCGTTCGTTTTCCGTCTTGAAAGGATCTGCAGTTGCTACACACAGCCAAAAACGAGCTTAGTCAATCTTGTTGATCTGTTCATGTATGTGTCATTGCAAAGTTGCAGAAATTCAGTCATTTTTGCTGTTTTAGTTTCAATAAATGAAAAAACAATTAATGTTTTTATAGCACATCAAACACTTAAAATATCAAGCTAAATTTGCCTCAAGACGTGACCCCTTTAGAAGCATAGCTCACCCAAAAATGCAAATGTGCTGTTAATTTACTCACCCTCGGGCCTCCAAGATGTAGGACTGTGTTCCTTCAGTAAAACAGTAAAGAAAGATTTTTAGCTGAAACCGTGCTCCTTGGTGATTCATAAAATGCTTGTCAGCGGCTGCATGTTTTTGAGAATAAAAAAAGCGTATCAAGGAACACAAAATTAATACCTGTGGCTCCTGATGATATTTTGTGGTCTTATGAAGTGAAACAATCAGTCTGAGCAAGAAACTAAACATTATTTTCAACAGTTGTATCTGTAATCCAGAGCCTCAGGCAAACAGAGGAATCCGATTCTTTTCCACAAACTGATTCTTTTGGACATTTTGGTTCACTGAACTGGTTCAGTTCGCTGGTTCGTTTACATAATCATGCAATGATATACTGTATGTGCAATTATATTTTTAAAGCACTCAATAATGTGAAATGTGGATTTTTTATATGTGTAAAGCATAAAGTGAATAGACCTGTCTTCATCAGCTCATCTTTTTACATAAACAATGAGAAACCATAAAAACTAGGGAATAATGTTATATAATGTTCAGTTTTCTGCACAGACCGATCGTTTCACTTCGTAAGACCTCAATATATCATCAGGAGCCACGGGGATTAATTTAGTGTTCCTTGATATGCTTTGCATGTACTTGCTGTCACGGTGCGTGCGGGGAGATGAAGCGAGGACTCAAGTGCAGGAGAAATGGTTATTTATTTTGATAATAAAAATGAAACAAAAACAAACTCAAACCACGAAACACACACAATGAGAAATGACGGATCAGCACAGGATGACAGACACAAGGAGAATAAATGGGAACCAAACGAGGAGGCTAACGAGGGAGACACAGGTGGATCAACTTAAACTATAACGAGGTAACAAGATGGGAGGGGCAAGACAATAGACAGGAGAGAGCACATGGCGACAGACAAACACAACACAAGCCATGTGCTCACAGAACACAGTCATCTGGTGGCCCTCCTGGGCACACCCGCTGCAGACTGCGACACTTGCATTTTATGAATCATCAAGGACCAAAGTTTCAGCTAAAAATCTTCTTTACTGTTAGACTGACGAAAAAAAGTCAGCTAGAACTTGGATGGCCTGAGAGTGAGTAAACTTAACAGCTAATTTTTATTTTTGGGTGAACTATCCCTTTAATGCCAGCCACTCAGTAGGGTTGGGTTGGGTATCGAGAATAGGTTTCAATTTTAGAACCGGTTCCAAATTTTCAAGAACCGGGTATTCGATAAGACGCGTGCATTTCGAATCGATTCTGCTTAACGATCCCTGGGTTCGCATTAGAGCTGGGCGATATAGCTAAAAAAATTAATCAACGATATGTTTCATATCGTTCGGTATAAATAATTATTGACATTTTTTATAACCTTTTTTAAAACAAAGAGCAATAGAAAAAAATGTTTAAATTTAACCACTGTATTTTTAAATTAACCCAATTTGAGACAAACAACAAATTTTTTGTTTTGTTTTAACAAACACAATAAAAATGAAACATATCTAATGTCTAAAGTTTTATATGCAGATTAAATAGGTCTGAAGGAAACTTTTGTTTTGTGTTTAAATGTCTATAAAAAAAACCTGCATTACGTCTAAATTAACTCATATAAATCAAACATAATTTCGTAAATTGCATAAACAATTATGAACAAAACAGCATCATGTATTCATGCATTGCTTAATCCAAAGAGCTGAATCGCCCATCACGGAGATTGCATTTAAAAACATATGAGACGCAGTGAAAAGGAATAAACCTCCACAAATTCGTGACGTGTTTTCTAAAAGTTTAAACTGTTCTAACTTTGCATGGCTGTCTACATCTCTTGTGTGAGACTAACAAGACATTAAAATGCAACAACGTCACTTACATCATCACCGCATCTCGTGTGCCACTGATGATGCTCCCTGACCCACTCCTAACATTCAAATGCAAATGTTTATTTAAAATTTGACTAATATTAATTTTTTTATTCACAATCTCCTCGTCACAGGCAGGCACAGCACTCAATTCAGCATGTGTTCGTGTTTGTGTGTGCTGTCTGCGTCACTCATAGCACGTGCCTATATCGTGCACTATATCGAACATTTTTTATATCGTTATCGAAGAAGGTGTACCGTCGATAAATATCGATACTGTTTTATCGCCCAGGCCTAGTTCGCATTTTAATGTGATTTTAAACTGTTTAAGTGCAGGAACGGAAAGAACTTGCGCCTTGTTTGCGTGCAGCGCACACGTCTGAAGCGCAGAGAACAGCGGTCTCGGTCCGGGTTCCCGGTTTGTGTCCGTTCTCCAACCGTTCCGTGCATTTCACTGCAGAGAAGGTTGTCCCGGGCCGGAACTGACTTCTGTCATATTTATCGACCAGTCTGCAGAAAACTACGTCAGTATATCATCATAAACGCAGCCATTTTTGTCTTAAGTGAACGTAAACAGATGAGAAAGAAAACATACAAGTACAGTATTTTTAGAACTGCATGCGTTCGGCGTTAAAGAGACCGCGGCCTGTCATTAATGTTAATCAAAGAACAAAAGAAAATCCTTTACTGATCTTCTTGACTGAATATTTTTAATAACTTGACTTAATTAATCTATATTTTATTAATGAAAAGAAAACTATGCAGTGTTTTTAAACTTTTAATTACAGTTTCTGTACCTGAAATGTGGTTCAGTTGTATTTATTTATGCTATTGCTAATTGATATGTTTGTTCCTACTTTATTACCGACTGTTTACTTGTCTTTAACACTTTAATATTTTAAATTTATATAAGTCTAGTTGTTTTAGCTGTGGTATTTTTGTTAAAAGCATAGGCTAAACTTCCTCTTGTAAGTGTTCTGTAGGCTGCTGATTTCTATCATGTTATTCAGCTGCAACAGAATGCTTTGCAAAAATACTTTTTTTTTTTTTTTGTATCTTATTGGAATCAAAACTAGGAATCGATAAGAATCGATAAAATTCAAACAATACCCAACCCTACAGATTGGAGAATGTTTTTGCTCCTTTTGTGTGCTAAAAGACTAAACCTAGTTTGGTTTATCTGCCTAGTTTTTGATCTATTTAGCAGTGTAGATCTAACCACCTTCACCAACAGATCTTTAAAGATTGAATTTCTGCTCAAAGCTGCTGGTTTTCCCCTGTTGCTTTGAGAACACTTTTCATTTGATATTTACACTAAGCTTTTTCATTTTCAGGAGGCTTTATGCCTTATTATAGTCAAGGAAGTGTTTGCTCTGTTGGCTTTCGACAGTGTTTTAATGTATCTTATTGTCAGAAGGTCTTCATATAAATCCTGTCAATCATATCAGTGCTTGTTATTGCAGGGAAATGTTGCAGACGGCTTCTTAACGAAACATCTCAAAAGCTTTTCCAGCCTTGCAGATTCATTCAGAGGAGGAAGGATAAAAGAGAAGCAACGTTTTTCAAACATTTGCCTCATTTTCTTCCCAGCATATTCTGACTTCCATGAAGGAGATGGTGAGGGACAGAACATCTGTCTTTATTGCACACCGGCTGTCCACCATTGTGGATGCAGATGAGATTATTGTACTAAATCAGGTAAGCTCGTCTGAAACCTGTGAATGTGTGTGACAGGTGCTGTGACATCTAGAAATCATGTTTAGCAAGCCAATGCATCATTTTCATCTTCTCAACTATTACCACAACTGTAAAGACTCACTTCAGCATTTTGCAATGCATTCGATGCTGAAGCTATAGTGTTACTCCCAGGTCAAAGTTCAAGCAGTTTTGAACTTTAACCCCAGTGGCTGCTGACCTTTTGAGGGCCAGCCAATGACTACTGATGAGTTTATAATGATCCACTTGAATGGCGAGTTACATTACAAGGAGATAGAGCTGGGGGAAAATTACATTTATTTATTGCAAAATGAAAAAATGCAGGAATTTTGAATGACTTAATTTACAGAGACTGAATAATTCTGGAGTTAGTGGGGTGATTTTGTTGAGCAGTGCTTTTGCATAGAAAAAATATATATATTTTAAGATATTTTTTAGGGCTGCAACATTTGGGGAAAAACTCAATATTTGGTGTTCATACTTGGGTTTGCTTTTTGCAAACAACTCAAATCTCTTTCAGTGTAAAATATTATAATACAAATTTAATATGAGTATATTCAGTGGTAAACATCAAGCTTTTATTTTGATGGGATGCTGATTAAAAAAATATGCACTTCAGGTTTCAGTGTGAAGCTCCTGCGCGATTGGACAATCGCACTAAACCATATCATGTCGTCACTTTTATTTTTTTGTGCAACCATGCAGTAAGTCCTTATTATTTACTTAATTGTGTGCATGCTAAAATGATAATAAATTAGTATAAATATCCACTTTTTTTGATCATGTGTGCAGTCCACAGTGAGGAGAACACTATGTATGTTCCTCTGATATGTCAGTACGTGGGCAGTGATGAAAGTCAAAATGCATTGATTAATCCATATATTAGAGTTTCACTTGTGTACTAGTTGTATGGTCGACATATGAGGTTGCAGCTGAGACAATGCGGGCGAGAAACAAAAGCTGGCATATCTCCATTGATTGAGAGATTCATGCAGCTTGTGTTGTCATGAAAGTTGCAAAACAACATTCATGTGCCACTCACTTATTGTGTCTGTCAGCCTGTGGGCGACATTGACTTTGGGTGGTTTGCAAGAATCCGGGTTCACTTTATATATTTGGTTGTTTCAGGTTATTATAGAAAGACAATGACATGCAGTGTTTCTTCTGCTGTCGCCACGCATACAGGCGGAACTGCAAGGCCTTTCTGTAACGCTGTCGTTGACGTGGAGGTCAAAGCAGTGTTGTGTTGAAGGCCTAATGTGAGTCATGTGAAAGAGACCTATAGGGAAACATTAGCATCCTTCCCTTATAGTGTTTGGCCCTGAGTCATAGTGTGGTCATTGTTGGATTTTTACATGGAAAGCGTGATCAGTTTAGTTTCAGATGTGTATGGTGTTCATAGATGGGGAAAAAGCATTCATTTGAACGTCTCTTTGATTGCAATGATGAAGAAAGCTCTCTCGCTGCTGTCCTTGTATATTGTTCTGCTCTTGAGATCCAGTCTGTTGGTAAAAAGGAGCTTGTGAAACGATGCCTGTATCCTCCAAAGTTACCCTTGGAATGGGTGTAGAGTTTGTCAGCGACATACTGCATTTTCTCTTATATCTTTTTGGATCAACATCAGTGCATTCATGGGAAAAGGACCACCACACTGAGTTTGTTGCTACAGGTTGTGTTCCAGTTGGCATGATGTCTGTACTGCACGGTAGTGACTGGTTATATGTAATCAGATTCCTAAAACTAAGTACTTGTTATTATATTACTGTGTTTTCTGGAAGAAAAGCTGCACCTGAATATGTCATACCAGGTCAAAATTGCATTGTTGAGAAATAAAAGGCGCTGTATCAGTGCATAAGTAACATATTACATTTAGAAATAATGTACAATACTGGTAAATAAAATTAAACATTTACAAAAATTATAAAGACAATAAACATGTATTTTAGTTCCCCTCACTCCACAAAACAATCCTTCAAATTTAGAACAAGAATGAAAAATATAAAGTAAACCAATTATAGTCATATTCTTTATAAACAACATTGCAAAACTGAATTACCAGCATGTGGGAAATGCGCTGTATAAATACGCTTGTTGCACAGTAAATTAATAAATAGTTTATTGGTTCTCCCTGAATTTTTCTTTTTTTACATTTTCTAAAAATGTCTTTTATTTTGTGGAATTGCTCACACCAGTCACTACAAAAATTATTTAACTTTTAAGGTGACATGCGGCAATTACTGTGCACTATAAACTACATTTCCTACATATATATTTCATTTAATTTCAATCCTGGAAGAGTTTGCCCATGCAATCTCATTGCTGTTTTCATTTTATTAATATTGGTTCATGTAATGCAGGGATTTCCAAATATTTTTTTCAGCTGAACCCCTTTGACTTAAAATATTTACTTGAAGTCCCTCTAAAGATTTAAAGGGATAGTTCACCCAGAAATGAAAATGTGATGTTTATCTGCTTACCCCCAGGGCATCCAAGATGTAGGTGACTTTGTTTCTTCAGTAGAACACATTTGATGATTTTTAACTTTAACCGTTGTCATTTTTGGATGAACTATCCCTTTAAACCTAAAATTTCAATAATTTTTTAACACTTTTGCATGCTCATGAATGATTCCCTGATGTTAGTTAACATAAACTAGAAATACCACAATGCATCACAATAATTACAATTTATGATACTGCATCAAAAACTAATGTTATTGGACACACTTTTATTTGTTATGTAAATATCAACACATTTAAACATCAGCATGCTTCATGACCTCTCAAGTAATTATGCAAGTTAAAGAAGAAAAACGAATTAAACCTGATAAATTCGAAGAAAACCTGTAGATGTTTGTCAGGTTTCTAACAGCAGTATCAGCATTGAGAATTTCAGAAAAAGTGCCTGTATTATAATAAAAATAAAAAATCACATTTTGAATCGCATAAATTTGTCAAATTAATTTCCTGTCATGACAACTCTTGGTATAGATTGTAAAATCTTTATTACGTCCTGGTTATATAGGTTAATGGCAATGATGTGAATCCGATTGGCTGGAAACATTGAATTGAATGAACCGATTAGAGCGCAAGTAGAGTTTCATGGCTAAACTATTCATTTAAAGATTATATTGTAGTTTTTGTTTTGTTTTGTTTTTGTTTTTTTGGACAAAAATGCACAGAAGACAACAATTAATTTGATTAACAAAACCTTAATAAAGACATAGTAACCCATGATAAACAGTACATTGATTCAAAAATATTTCAAATGAAAAAAAAAATTTAAAATTGAAAATATGAATCTATGCAATCAATAAAAAGTAACAGTAATCTGATTATGTGTATTTGAAACACAATCTAATTACAAGTAATAGGTTTTGGTAATTTGATTATTTATTCCAGATTACGTAACATCTGTTACAACCCAGCACTAAATGTGTGTAACAGTCATTACTAAAACTTTTTATATACTGCTAATAAACAATATGATGAAAGTAGAAAAAAAAAAAAAAAAAAAAACACTACCATTCAAAAGTTTGGGTTCTGTGAGTTAAAAAAAAACAAAAAAAACACTTTTATTTAGCAAGGATGCATTAAATGTATTAAAAATGACAATAAAGACATTAATGACAGTACAAAAGATTTCTTTTTCAAATAAATGCTTTTCTTTTAAATGTTCTATCCAAAGAATTCTGACCAAATGTATAATTGAAAAAAAGAAGAAAAAAAAAAAACATTAAACAGCAAAACTCGCTGCTTGTATTTACAGCTTTTACACTAGCAGACAAGATTCACTAGCCAACTCGATAAAAACATATGCAATGCATATTTAAAATCACGGTCACAACATTTGCATTAAACCGTCTTTATGCCACTGTTGTTGCAGAAAGGCTGTTTCCCCCCCTGTGTTAGCTACTGTATTGCCAGCGCTTTTAGCATCCCTTCCTTCAGTCTGTAGTAGACACATGCAGGTTGATGCATGCTTCAGATGCGAGCGTCTTCAGCTGTGTGAGAGCGTGCGGGGGCTGGCCCCTTACATTGAGCTCATTAACAGTGGAAATACCTTTTGCCCAGCGCTCAGCGACACCTTTGTTTGTCTCCCATGTGTGGAGACCTTTTCAATCTGGATGCGTGTGGGGGGTGGAGCACGTGATGCAGCTGCAGCCGGAAAAAACACCAACCAACATAATATTCTCAGATCCAAGAAACAGAAGCAAATGTTGTTGTGCATCAAAAATGGGTCATAATTAGAGCGATCTGAGCTGTCAGTGACACAGCTGCTAAAAATACTAGCAGGGTTTGAGTCTTGCTTGGCAAAAGTGGCGTCGTAATTGATGCAAGTATCTAGCAAACAGCCGGGAGACTGGTTGACTTGTCATTGTGCGAGCTCATTTCATACTTGGCTTTGTTGCTGGCAGTCTTTTAAGAGGCAGTGCTGCATGTACGCCCACACCGCCGCATCCCCGCTCCGAGTCTCAGCTCTCTTTAGACCTTTCTCAAACATGGTCTCTGTCAGTGCCCCTGCATGGCCCTGAATCTCTTGTTTTGCCCAGTTCTTCCAATTTGGATGCAGCTGCACAGTCGGTCTGACTGCAGGAGGCTTTATGCTGCTGAATATCAAGGCGTCAATCAAAGAAACCAGGCTTAATGCTGAATAACAGCCTCTGGCCTCCTGAAACAATCCCAAGGCAGAGCCTGCATGAACGCTCGGGGGTTTTTTCTTCTTGCGGTGCGGAAAAATAGATAATTGTTGTTAACCTTAACAAGTCTCAGTGAAAGTTAAATGATTATTCTGGGGTCAAAGCATGTTACGCTGCATGTGTGGCATCTGTGACATGCTGCTGATTACCTGACGTAACTCTCGGTTTGTAAAAACAAAGACTTTTTCATTTATAGCGTGGCGCAGATTCTTTTATTGCATTGCATTCAATACAGACTGCAAACTCAAGGCTTAGTGCTTAATTCTTCCCGAGGAGCACATGTTCCTAATTTGAAAAATTTAGGAGCGCATCAAGAACAATTAAAATGTATCAGATAATTTGTTTTTCCTCAATAAAGGGATGCAATGAGACATTTAAAATCAGGATTACTTGATTTATTTAAAACAAAAAGTGCAGTAGGTTTTTAAATATTTCTTCCTGAGGGTCCTTGCACACTGAGTCCGAAATTTCCTGCAAGCTAAAAAGTGAATACGACCTCACATTGTGTCAATCACGTTTACACGCTGCCTCCGAAACTTTCGTCTGTCATAAAAAAAAATCAGATCAGGTTTGATTTGATGTGTTTTTCCTATCCGTAGCAAGCATTTTAAAGGGTCAGTTCACCCAAAAATGAAAATTATGTCATTAATTACTCACCCTCATGTCGTTCCAGACCCGTAAGACCTTCGTTCATCTTCAGAACACAATTTAAGATATTTTAGATAAAATCCGAGAGCTCTCTGACCCTGCATAGACAGCAAGGGTACTACCACGATCAAGGTCCAGAAACGCATCAAGGACATCGCTAAAATAGTCCATGGGACATCAGCGGTTAAACCATAATTTTGCGAAGCTACGAGAATACTTTTTGTGCGCAAAGAAAACATAACGACTTTATTCAACAATTCTTCTGCTGCTCATCCCTTCTGCGGTGGTGCAGCGCTATTGTGTAGAGCAGGGTGCCCAAACTCGGTGCTGGAGGGCCGGTGTCCTGCAGAGTTTAGCTCCAGCTTGCCTCAACACACCTGCCTGGGTGTTTCTAGTATGCCTAATAAGAGCTTGATTAGCTGCTTCAGGTGTGTTTGATTAGGGTTGGAGCTAAACTCTGCAGGACACCGGCCCTCCAGGACCGAGTTTGGGCACCCCTGGTGTAGAGTATCACGACACATACACTTACTTCTGTTTTACATAATTCATTCTGGACCTTGATCGTGGTAGTACCCTTGCTGTCTATATCTTAATTTGTGTTCTGAAGATGAACGAAGGTCTTACGGGTTTGGAACGACACGAGGGTGAGTAAACAATGACAGAATTTTCAGTTTTGGGTGAACTATCCCTTTAAGTCATAATTAGCAGAAAATCCTGTATGTCGGAACCACTTGAGCTTGTGTTTCCAAGCTGAGGGACGAGTGAATGATGCATGATCTCTCCCTGTGCTGGTGACGCAGGGGAAGTTGGCGGAGCGCGGCAGTCATCAGGCTCTGCTGAGCGCGCCGGGCAGTCTGTACGCAGACCTGTGGAACACACAGAACTGCAGAAGCACGAGCGCCGCGGGCCGGCCTGAGCCTGTACCCGAGCGCCTGGCGCAGAGCGAGGAGGAGCGCAAGAAGCTGCAGGAGGAGATCCTCAACAGCGTGAAGGGCTGCGGGAACTGCTCCTGCTGAGCTCTGCTCCTCTCCTCCAGACCTCCACTGGACTGGGATCACAGCGAGGAGTCGAGGATGTTATTTCATCCTGAACTGACAGCGGCGTTCTTCTTCTTTGTGATTTTTCCATAACCTCAGGGGCCTATATCATGCCTTTATTTTCACATGCTGTCAAGGTTTTAATAGATTTGTCCATGCCATCTGGAACTCTTGTAAGTTGTTTTTATTATGCATATGTACATATCACTAATGCAATATTTTTGAGAAGCGCATTGTATAGAGTGCATAGATATTTTGTCTGTTGAATTATGTTAGATATGTCTGGACCATTTAGAAAATGTCTCCCTGAACACTGGCACCTTTGATGTCTCATCAACATTAATTTATACCAAATCTGAATGAGATGTCATTGAAAGTACATTCAACAACTTGTATTAAATAAAACTCCCTTCTTTGAGTGTCTGAGAGCATGCGTTTCTTTCAGCTAATCATATTTGGTTTAAAATCAGTAATACATAAGTGATGAAGCTTTCATTGTGATGTTCAGGGCTTCACGTGTTCCAGGTCACAGCATGTCCATGAAATCATTCAAAAGCTGTCAGTCATTGTTTGAGGAGATGATAATTTAGACCCTGAATGTATAGAGGTGTATCTGTTGTAATGCCTGGCGCTCCATCACATTCGTTCATCAGTGAGTGGGAGATGAATGAGAGGTGTTGGGTGAAGAAATGGGTCAGTGACGTGACTCATACTTTTGTCTGGAAGGATACACTAAAATGCATTTCATACATAAAATAACTTGAATGCACCTCTGCTATAATGAACCTTTTATGAAAAATATTTTGCTATATTTATATATTTTACTTAATTTTTTTTTGTAAAAGAAGTGTCAAGGTGGTGTTGATTGTAACAAAGAAAAACAACTCTTATTAAAAGGCGGAACTTCTTGGGGAGGAAATAGTTTGTCATAAACTTTAAGAATAAGAAGAGATACAGTTTTGTTTTAAAGAATAAATGCTGGTAAAATGGGACACTGCTGTTTTATCATTGCGTGTGTATTCTTGAATTATAAAAAAATTATTGAAGTATGGGATTGACATGATATATGGTTCTCATAATACTGACATTTAAGGGGTCATGTCATACCATGAGATACACTATAGGAAGTACGTTTTTTTCTGAGTTGTTTTAAGGTTATAAAATACACATACAAATATAATAGGGATTCTGATTCTCCTGTGATTTCTGAAGATGAACGAAGGTCTTACGGGTTTGGAACGACACGAGGGTGAGTAAACAATGACAGAATTTTCAGTTTTGGGTGAACTATCCCTTTAAGTCATAATTAGCAGAAAATCCTGTATGTCGGAACCACTTGAGCTTGTGTTTCCAAGCTGAGGGACGAGTGAATGATGCATGATCTCTCCCTGTGCTGGTGACGCAGGGGAAGTTGGCGGAGCGCGGCAGTCATCAGGCTCTGCTGAGCGCGCCGGGCAGTCTGTACGCAGACCTGTGGAACACACAGAACTGCAGAAGCACGAGCGCCGCGGGCCGGCCTGAGCCTGTACCCGAGCGCCTGGCGCAGAGCGAGGAGGAGCGCAAGAAGCTGCAGGAGGAGATCCTCAACAGCGTGAAGGGCTGCGGGAACTGCTCCTGCTGAGCTCTGCTCCTCTCCTCCAGACCTCCACTGGACTGGGATCACAGCGAGGAGTCGAGGATGTTATTTCATCCTGAACTGACAGCGGCGTTCTTCTTCTTTGTGATTTTTCCATAACCTCAGGGGCCTATATCATGCCTTTATTTTCACATGCTGTCAAGGTTTTAATAGATTTGTCCATGCCATCTGGAACTCTTGTAAGTTGTTTTTATTATGCATATGTACATATCACTAATGCAATATTTTTGAGAAGCGCATTGTATAGAGTGCATAGATATTTTGTCTGTTGAATTATGTTAGATATGTCTGGACCATTTAGAAAATGTCTCCCTGAACACTGGCACCTTTGATGTCTCATCAACATTAATTTATACCAAATCTGAATGAGATGTCATTGAAAGTACATTCAACAACTTGTATTAAATAAAACTCCCTTCTTTGAGTGTCTGAGAGCATGCGTTTCTTTCAGCTAATCATATTTGGTTTAAAATCAGTAATACATAAGTGATGAAGCTTTCATTGTGATGTTCAGGGCTTCACGTGTTCCAGGTCACAGCATGTCCATGAAATCATTCAAAAGCTGTCAGTCATTGTTTGAGGAGATGATAATTTAGACCCTGAATGTATAGAGGTGTATCTGTTGTAATGCCTGGCGCTCCATCACATTCGTTCATCAGTGAGTGGGAGATGAATGAGAGGTGTTGGGTGAAGAAATGGGTCAGTGACGTGACTCATACTTTTGTCTGGAAGGATACACTAAAATGCATTTCATACATAAAATAACTTGAATGCACCTCTGCTATAATGAACCTTTTATGAAAAATATTTTGCTATATTTATATATTTTACTTAATTTTTTTTTGTAAAAGAAGTGTCAAGGTGGTGTTGATTGTAACAAAGAAAAACAACTCTTATTAAAAGGCGGAACTTCTTGGGGAGGAAATAGTTTGTCATAAACTTTAAGAATAAGAAGAGATACAGTTTTGTTTTAAAGAATAAATGCTGGTAAAATGGGACACTGCTGTTTTATCATTGCGTGTGTATTCTTGAATTATAAAAAAATTATTGAAGTATGGGATTGACATGATATATGGTTCTCATAATACTGACATTTAAGGGGTCATGTCATACCATGAGATACACTATAGGAAGTACGTTTTTTTCTGAGTTGTTTTAAGGTTATAAAATACACATACAAATATAATAGGGATTCTGATTCTCCTGTGATAGTCTATTTTTATTTTGCACACTGGACACTGTCCCAGTTTGCCAACAGTTTATTGATATGATGTATTATTGGTATGTCATTCGCTCAGTTATGTCATTTTTTTGACCTAACCCTAACCCATAACAAAGACATCTCAAACAATGTCATCTTTGCAAGGGCGAATGACACTTAATGACAGTTGTCATAAACATGCATAAAACCTCCTTCATATTCATGACACGTGTCATGTCATGTCAATATTATGAAGGTGTCATGTCAGACTTATGCACACCCTTTCAAGTAAAGTGTAACCAAATTTTCTCTTGATATATCTTGTTGGCTAACTCTATTTGTATTCGGACCCATTCACTATAGTGTAATAAAGCATGTTTTTCAGAGTTCAGACAAGGAAGAATATGCCAGTACAGCAGTCAGGAAAGAGATTAAACGTGAAATTATTTGTCAAATTAAAAGTTTTATAAGAAAACATGTGTTTGTCATTATGTACTTAATTGATTTGGTTTACAAATAAAACTATTTAAAAGAACTAGATCTCCCAGTTAGCCAGTAATGGAAAATTGTCATTTGGAATTTTATATTTGAAAATAATGATGTGTACATGCACAAGTATTCAAAGTGTATGCAAAACGTTTCATTTGGTTGCACCAACTGACATTTTTATTTTAATTTTCTTGACATCTTTGACTCGCAATAAAAACACAATTACAAATAATTGTATTTTAAGCTGGAGTGTGACAGTTTATTAGGCCTGATGAATCTCTATCATCTCGGATAGTGACTGATCGTGCTAATATGAGCTGTGATTGGGAGGCTGAATAATATTACAGCAGATGTTGTGCGTTTAATCAAAGTGACCTGCTGGAATCCATACGTTTACTGAGCAAAGATGCACTCCACGAACGAGAGGGGAAAAAAACATGGCACTTCATATAGAGAAAGCTTTGAGATGATCGTGACATGATAAACAGCAGATATAAATAACATTCTTGAGTGCATGCAAATATTGGCATAATTTGTGTTAATTAGGTAAGCTTCTTTCATGTAGCTCTTTCTTAAATGCACAACGTCATGCCCGTTACACGAGCTGAACTCTCAAGCCATTCGCTTGTTTGTCACAAATGGGATCTGCAGGTTTTCCATTGTGGCACATAAAAGCCTGACGAGGCCCCCCGCTCAGCTTTTGTGCGAGCCGCACAAATAACACGTCCTGCTTTACGTCTGTTCAAGCTGTTCTCATGAATGTCCTCAGCCCAGCTCTCATCCTGCATCTGAGAAAGCCGCCGACTTACACCCAACCTGCAGCACAAGACAAATGATATGCACATTCAGATTTAGATCGCATATATCCTTGGTAAATTTCTGCATTTAGCGGCTGAGATTTTCTGACATTCTGGGAGCGCCCGAGTGCGTTCTTTGAGTTCCACTTAGACGTCTTCGCCTGGGCGAGCTTTTATGCTGTTTGAAAGGAAATAAGAGGCTCTCAGCATCTACAAGTGCCTTAACTAGAGCGGCCTTCCTCCAGTCCTGCTGCACTCAGCTGGGGCTTGTGGGACGTGACCAAGGCTAAAACTAATGTGCTTCAGCATCGCAGTCCTTTTTGACGTTTCTTTAAAAACAAGAAAAATGCTCTGCTTTTAGATTCCCGTCGTTCGGGGAATTGCAGAAGGCTGCTTTAGAGGATATCGTTGCTTATTATAATCCGGCGCTACTCATAGATCCGGCTGTATTTTATATATGCATGACATTTCCTGATACTTTTACAGCGTAGCCATGCAATAGCATGAGTATTGTGGAAATAGCTTTCAAATACAGAAAACGGAAAGCACTGTATGACTCAAACCAACATGAATTCAAAACTGGCGGTTTCTGGCAGCCATTGACTGTCATAGCATGGACAAAACATACGTGGCTATCAGCAACTTGCTAGAGGTTTATTCTTTAAAATGTCTTCATTTATGTTCAGCAGAAGAATGGAACTCACACAGGTTTGGAACATTATTGAGAACACTTAATTTTCTTTTCTTTTTTAATTTGGGAAATGTTTTGTTTGGATGTGTGAAATATGAAGAGGAAGAACAGAAAAACTTGGTTTTGAACATACATTTTCAAAGCAGAAACCAACTGTGTATGTTTTTGCCTGCTGACAGCATTGCTTTGAGACTATTTCCAATTCACTCGATAAACAAAATGCAAAAATGATTCATATTTGCAAGTCCTTCAAACTTTCCCTGCGATATTTTATTTACTGTGTCTATTTATTCACCCCTGTCTCTTGTTTCCTTTTTTTTTATCTTCTTGTGTTGTAACTGCACTTTCATTATTTATATGCTGTTCTCAGTGAAAACAGATTAAAACAAAACTAAACTAAAAGTGTAGGTAGTCTAAACTAAACAAAATAACTATACTGTATACAATAAACTAAAATAACGGAATAATCTGAATTTAAAATGATGGAAATATTCATTTCTGCCAGGTATTTATACACGGTATCACAACTTAAATGC